AAAAAAAAAAAAAAAAAAGCTTCTGAAATTATTTAGAAATGTTTTACTATTTTATAAAATCATGTAAACATAAATGTTATAACAAAGAAAATATTTTCCTTCATTTTAGACCTGTTTTCCTAATATGGAATATAATAAAATCAGGTTTTTTTGACGATCACCTGTTCATCCAGTAACACTACTTATAAAATAAGTAAATTATAATAAAATATCTTTTTGCGTAAAGTTTTTAACCGGATCTTTTGTTTAATCTTTTTTAATCTATTTTTAATCTATTTCAAGTCGTATTGCCCACATTATTAAGGTTTATAGAAAAATAATTTTTAAGTTTTATATTGTATAACATTCCCGTTAAAATTTTAAGAATCGCGTAACAAAACACGAATAAAAAATTATTTAAAAAGTCATATGTTAATTAGGACTTATTTTAATTCAAAAATTGGATCAGAAGAAGAAAGAAAGAATGGAACTAACCGAAACGGATTCGGATATTATTAAATTTAGAATAGTTTTTTTTTGAATAATATGCACAATGTTATTGTAGAAAAAATTCTTGAAATGTGAAGTACAGATTGCATACAATTAGAACAGATATGCATTATGCATGGAAATTTTCTTCTGTTATACATATACGAGATACATACACATACGAGATACATTAAATGCACTCCTTGAACTTTATACACTTTATTTACTTTGGTTCCAACAAAAAAAAAAGGACCCATGTTTAAATTCTTTATTGGAAAACCCATTAACAAAAATTAATGATTCAACAAATGAAATTAATAGAAAAAGAAAAAATTTTTAGTTTTTTCTGTCGTGGGTAAAAAAAAGATATTCATCAGTAAATCATTGTATCATCGGTTTTATAATCGGCAGTACTCCGACGGCGTAATTGTTTATTTGTTACCATAATGATAATCCCCTTGTTGGGTAGATAAATTTTTCATAAAACTTTCCGAATTTTAAAAAATCATACGAAACCCGAATGTTTCCGGTGAAACATTAAAACATTTCAGAATTATACACATTCTACACTTTCCTTTTTTCCATGTTTTTTTTTATCAATAGAAAAAAAAATGAGATTTTAAAGATCTTTACTAATTTTATAAATTCAATAACTTTAGTTAACACTTTTACGGTAAATTCTTACATATATTATTTAGATGGTTTAAATTTTTAATCAAATGTCACAATTGTCACATCCATGAAAAAAAAAGATTAAATTATTACACAAATATAAATATTATTTATCTATATTAATTTATTTGTAACATTGAAAAAAAAAAAACAATATAAAGTTTAATCTATATATGAAGAACAGCATTTATATGATATTTAATATGAGAAATATGAGAATAAAAAAAAAAAAAAATTATTTCTAAAATTTCTTTAATCTTTTTTTAAAACAGTAAACGATTACGAATTAAAATTCTTAATTTTTTTCGTTAATGAAATTATTTCCTTTTTCACTAAATAATTCAAAAACAACAATGATAAGGAAAATAAATCAACCAATCATATTCAATCATAATCAAAGTGACTATTAAAAAGACTTTGTTCCATTATCAAAAGTTTATTTTCATTAAAGTTAATTATCGGAATTAGTTTATTATTTACTTACACAAACATTTCAAACATTAAATATTTACCAAGGGCTGAGAGGAGTTTTGATTTTTGCCCTATAAACTATTAATTAATTTGAAAGTACAAATATAAATAAAGAAGTTTATTAAAACAAAGAGTTTGGTAGTTGGCACTTTTATAATTGAAAAAACCTGAAATATTGTTGTAAATCCTTTTAAAACTGTATTATTGACATTTTATTACTAAGAGTCTAGAATGTTTATCCTTTCTACGCATACAGTATATTACTTCCTTGTTATTTAACACGAAAAGGTTTATTTGTGAATTATTAGTTATTAAGTTATTAAGTTATTAAGTTATTAAGTTATTACGTAGCCTTGGATGATATGATACCATACAAAACACCAAATTCCTAATTTGGTTTAAACAGAGTAATTTCTCTTTATTCCCTGCTTTGTTTTCAAATAAAGTAAATTACTAAACTGTTATTAACATTGTGTGAATAACATGTGTGAATTAACCACTAATGATTAAATATTTTCACGTGGTGATTATTGAGATTATTGAGATAACGGATATAATTTCGGAATAAGTTATTATAACGTGGATAAAGTATTTTAGTATTTACCGAGTTTTTATAATCTGGGGTAAAAATCGCATGGTAAAATATTAAAATATTTTTGGTGTTACGTACGTTACTAAAAATAACGCAAAAAAATTTTTAATTTTTAAATTTTTAATTTTTTACGGACGCAAATAATTTATTACGATAAAATAAATAAAATAAACCATCAAAACTTATCAAACCTCTTTTTTTAGCAATTTTCACTTATTAAGGACTTGTAAGGGGCGCAGCATGAAAATATCATGAATACATTATAAACACATTTTTTTTTTTTTCACATATTGTGATATTTTTGGATATAATATATTTAATATATTACATTGTTTATTAAATTATTTTTAAAGAAGACTTTTCTCTCTTCATTGTTGTAATAAAATTATTTTATTTATTTTACTTTTTAGTAGAAAGTTTGATCGCTCAAAGTTTTTATTTCATGATTATGATATACATTACATACTTTGAGTTAAATTAGTTACTTAATTGAGCAATTAAAAGAATAACTTTAAATTTTTTGGTTAAACATTATCTAATACTTAAAACAAATAAATGACATAACCTTATGTGGTACAACGCAGTTGATTGACATCTTATTCGTCTTATTTCGTCGAACACATTTATGAAATCACGTGTTATGCATTTTATGAGTCATGAATTATGAATTTTTTGAGGAGGTTTAAATTATTATGATGAAATATTTTTGTTCCGATTTTACTTTTTTATTTTTTTACTCGAAACAGTTAACAAGAAGAAATTAATATTATTATTGATTTTTTTTAAAAAAAAAGTCTTTAATACGGGTCTAGTTCAAAATCGATTATAATAATTAATTATTACCTTAATTTGTATACGGAAAATACGGAATAAAAATTATAAAATTTATTATTATTAATTATTTAATCACTTAATATTTTTTTTTTTTTTTTTAACGGATATAATTTCGGAATTGTAACTTTAAAAAAAAAAAACCAGTTATCAAACAATCACGCGTTTCACTCGATTAATTAATGATTACAATCATGTTTTGCATAATAATAAAATAATCACCCAATTTAGTCTAAAAAGAAAGAAAGATATCGTTGTTAACTAAAAAAAATTATATTATTTATTATAGGCTACTATCGTATTTAATTAATTTATACCTAAAACCAGTTTTTTTCATTTGTTACATTATAAAACAAAATTATTGTTGTACTAATAGTATCTTCTTTATCCCTGAATTTATGAAAAAATACTGGCGTAAAAAAGTTTTTTTTGTAAATAATACTTAAACCGTTGTCTTTTTTTTTATTTATTATTATTTGTGGTATCCTTATTCCTTAATTTTAAATTTCGTAAATTTTGTAAGAAAATTGTTATTGCGAGAACATGGAATTGATATTTATTTTCTTTTTCTAATTTAATGATCCAAATAGGTTTTATTTTATGTGCTGATCAAATGATTACGCTCAATCATCATGTGGTGTGACGTAATATAGTAAACCGGTGCAGTCGGACCCACTAACAAGGTTCGTTGATCAGTGGTGATATGCGTTTTACATGATTGTACCAGCTATTTACATGCTCAACACAAGTCATAATAATAACGTATGAATTTATTATAAATCATACGATAAATAATATTTCTAAGGAACGAAACTCCGATATATAATATAATATATGCTGTGTATATTATTTGCACCCTCAAGAGATTTAAATTAATTTATCGCTTGTTCCAAGAATTCGTACTACACGGGTAATATATTGACATTATATTTTGATTTACTTGTTCCAAGTTTTCATAAAATGAAATTTCAAGTCAGTTTTGTATAGAATTCCATAAGCAAAAGGCCTTTACGCACCAATATTGAAGCAGGCGAACTATTAAACCGTTTAGCTGGAAATTATTGATAGTATGTCTCATACAATTAACGTTAGCAAATTTTGAAAAACTCTATAAAATTCCAGAATGTTTCTGCGTGAAGACTATGTGTCGTTATTGGATAAGCGATACTCGTATGCTGTTTATTTCTGTTCGGCACTAGAATGCTCCACACTGTATTTAACATTGCATCAGCTCTTTTCTTTTTTGTTGTTCCAGCAAATTGCGTTACAATGGTATCCACTCCATTTTTACATTCTGAAGGAGTATCAAATCCCAAAGAAGGATTGAACGTTCATTTTTGAAATAAAAAGTTTAATAAAAAGTTTAATAAAAATTTCATACCGCCTTTTTTGCTGGCTGACACGCACTAAAAACATGTATTCAAGATCTTGAAACGATTATCTTACTAGTAGTCAAATGTTTCCTTAGAAAACTACTTACCGGTAAAATTAAAAGCAAATTACGAAAAGAATGATTTAATTGCTATAGAAGTAGGGAATTTATACGAGAAGAGAAAA